TGCACAGCCGGGGTTAGCACGGTGGCGCGCGGGGGATGAGCGAGGCTCTCAAGGAAAGCGTACCCAGCAGCAGGATCTTGCATTCTCGCCGCAGTCGCCTCGAGTCCTCCTCCAACTTCTTGTCAATCGCCTGGCTCCGCTTCTTCTGATCTGCATCCTCGTTGTTGGTGCTCATGCAAATGCCCATGGTGGCTTATCGCCGCGGCGGCAGCCGACGACGCTGACGGTCTGGGCAAGAGGGCGTTGAGGGCGGTCCGAATCGCGCACAGCGGCGAGGGGAGTCGGTGTAGACCAGCGAGGCAGGGCGCGGCGGTGGACTCGTCGACGTCGGTCCCGGTGCTGGCCCGGCGTGGGTGGGTACGGTGAGGTCGGGTGCGGTCGTCGGGGCTGAGGAGCGGCGAGGCGCAGGATGATGTCGTGGAGGGATGCGGCGCCAAGTACGGGAGAGGCAGGCGCCGGGGGCTGGCGGGAAAGTCGGGGGAGCTCGCTCTGGGGTCGCGGCGAAGACTCGCGCGGATGCGGCAGCGGTGGAGGGTTGGGCGAGGTCTGGCGGAACGGAAGAGACGGCCGTTGGAGGGTGGGCGTGGGCTGGATGGAGAGGTGATGTGCAGCGCTGCGAGTCCCTGTCGACGTCGTTTCGCATCCAGGGAGTCTGTGCACCTTGCCTTGCGACAGCGCCGGCTGCGGTGGGCGGCGGCGGCTGGGGGCTAGGGCCTGGGGGGGGCTACGGTTTCGACGCAACGGCTCTGGCTCTGGCTCTGCGGAGGCGCGCGAGGGAGGCAGCGGGTAGCGGGCAGCGGGCAGCGTGGCAGCAGCAGCAGTTGGCGAGGGCAAGGACACGAAGGCCGGCCGCAGTCGAGTCGGTGACTGGCTTTGACCGGTGGGAGTGTGCCAGGGAGTCTCGTACGTCGCAGCGCTGTTGGCTCGTTGCGAGGCCCAAGCACGCCCGCGAGGTACAGGCAGGAGCGCACTGCTTTGTCCGGGCCTGCGGGAAACAAGGGCGCGCACTACTCAGCCCAGCAGCATGCCGGCCGCCTCCAGATGTGCGCTGCCAAATATAACAACGCTGGGCTCGCCGATCGGGTGGGTGGTGGTTGAATAATCCAATCCGCCCTTCATCGAGCTAGGCGGGCCTGCGGCGGTTTCACTCTTTCGGTGTGCCTGACCAGTATCAGCGCCGCCCGCGGCTGGTGCGACTCCTCTCATAGCAGCGCGTATCACGCTGGCCGCTGGGCGGGCGATCACGACGTGCTGCGCGCGCCGAAATGACCTCGGACATTCGCTCGCTCCCACGGCTCCTTTAGCCCAGCAGCCCCCTTCTCCTGGAGGCGTCGCGACGTTATTTGACAACGCGCTCACACCCGCCGCCGTGCCACCGTTTCATCGTCAGGCACCCAGTGCGCAGCGCCTCGCTTATCGGCGCCAGCGAAATGGCTGGCCGGCGAGTGCAATTTGCACTGTTGCAGATTGCTTCGGCAGGAGAGGGCAGTGGCGGGCCGTCGAGTGCGGCGGTGCGCTGGCAGCGGCGGCGATGTGCGCGTGGCCCCATGTCTGGCGAGCGCGCAGATGCGATTTTGACCGATTCGATGGGGATTGCTCTGAAAACGAAATAGCATGCAGCCACAGTTGGCGGCGATGACGCCGGCCAGAGCTGCAGAGTCCCGGTTTTTCCCTCTGGACCTGGCCGTGGAGCCCCTCCATCCAGCGATCATCAGCCCGCGGCGAGGCAGTTCGCAGCAGCGTCGCCCGCCCGCCGCGGCGCCGTCGTGGGCTCTGGCCCAGCTGTGTGCGAGGGCGCGCTGCTGCATCTCGACTCGGCCCTTTCCGAAGCCGGTCTGGCGTAGCGGGCGTGCCTTGCCGGGCGATGGGCTGGGCGGCGGTACTGATTCGTGTGCACCGGCAGCCTCTTGCGGCCGGCCCACGCGCCTCTATAGTGACGTATTGCGTGCCTTAGCCACGGCGATGTGATCGAGCGCAAGGTCTTCGGTCTTCGACTAGTTAGTTCAAGGTTGGCCATCGGGCAAGCGCAAAACACCAGCCGTCCCTCATCAATTCGCAAAGGCACACTCGCGCGCTCTCCTCTCCCTCCTGCATTCCCTGCTCCCAGTGCGGCTTCGACTCCGAGCCACTCAGCGCCCGCAAGCCGCTGCCCGCCGCCACACTTTACCACTTCCCCTCTTCGCCAGACGCTCCCGCGCAACGCTCGACCGCCAGCCCCTGCGCCCCCAGCAACAAAGACGACCCATCACCTCATCCCCAGGCTTTCGCGCCCGCAGTCACCATGGCGGAGTTTGTGCGCGCCCAGATCTTCGGCACGACGTTCGAGATCACCAGCAGGTTCGCCACGTCCCAATGCCCTCCGTCTTGCAGGCGCGCCGCTGACCGCGTTTGCACAGGTACACCGACCTGCAGCCCGTTGGAATGGGCGCCTTTGGTCTCGTATGGTATGCTTCTCCGCCGAACCCAGGTCGCGGGACGCGTCGCTGACCGACGTGCGTGTGTGTGCGTGCAGTTCGGCTAAGGACCAGCTCACCGGCCAGGCCGTCGCGGTCAAGAAGATCATGAAGCCCTTCAGCACCCCCGTGCTCTCGAAGCGGACATACCGTGAGCTGAAGCTGTTGAAGCACCTGCGGCACGAGAATGTGAGGCTCTTCACGCCCCGCCGTGGGGAGGGTCAGCAACCCCGCTAAACCGCCGAACAGGTCATCAGTCTTAGCGACATCTTCATCTCGCCGCTCGAGGACATGTAGGCGAAAAACTTTTCCAGCCACGCGGCCAAACCTGCTTACAGACGCCCAGTTACTTCGTCACCGAGCTGCTCGGCACGGATCTGCACCGTCTTCTCACGTCGCGGCCTTTGGAGAAGCAATTCATTCAATATTTCCTCTATCAAATACTGGTGCGCACGCAGACAGCCCCTGCCGATGGCAAAGCTTCGGGACCTCATGCTGACCTGCGCAGCGTGGTTTGAAATATGTCCACTCGGCCGGCGTTGTCCACCGCGACCTTAAGCCTAGCAACATCTTGGTCAACGAGAATTGCGATCTGAAGATCTGCGACTTCGGCCTTGCCCGCATCCAGGACCCTCAGATGACGGGATACGTGTCCACGAGATACTACCGGGCTCCCGAGATCATGCTTACGTGGCAGAAGTACGATGTTGAGGTTGATATCTGGAGTGCGGGCTGCATCTTTGCCGAGATGCTGGAGGGCAAGCCTCTGTTCCCCGGCAAGGACCACGTCAACCAGTTCTCGATCATCACGGAACTCTTGGGCACGCCTCCGGACGACGTGATTCAGACGATTTGCAGCGAGAACGTGAGACAACACACTCTGGTCGCTTTCGGAGCTCGGGCTGACGAAGGTTTTGCAGACGCTGAGATTTGTCCAATCGCTGCCGAAGCGTGAACGGCAACCGCTGGCCAACAAGTTCAAGAATGCGGACCCGCTTGGTATGTCTCGGAAGCAAGGTAGCACCGACGCTCGCGCTAACCAGTTGTAGCGATTGACCTGCTCGAGAACATGCTCGTCTTCGACCCGAAGAAGCGCGTACGAGCGGGCGACGCGCTCGCGCACCCCTACCTCGCGCCGTACCACGATCCTACCGACGAGCCGGTGGCAGAGGAAAAGTTCGACTGGTCATTCAACGACGCAGACCTCCCTGTTGATACATGGAAGATCATGATGTACGAGATTATTTGCGATTGAAGGGACGGCGGATTCGCGGCTAACGCGGGTGCAGGTATTCGGAAATTCTCGACTACCACAATGTAGATGCCAACGCTCAGGACGTCGAGCAGAATGGCAATTAATAGGCCCGGCGTTCAGCAAGTCTTGTCGTGGGGCCACTTTTGTGCGCGGATATGGCCTTCATTCTCGGCTTCTCTTGGTTTTCAGTTAGAAAGCTCATCGACTTTTTCAATACGCGGAAACTCGGCATGGCAGACCCGGATCACAGACTACGGTGATATGACATGGCAGCGGGCGAGTCGGCGATCAAGGGCGCTATTTTCCTTCTGGGATTTGGGCGATGGCGGGGCACCACGGTCCCCGCGCGGGGTGTTTTCTTTTCTCTTCCCCATGTCTTCACTTGCATGCGATACATAGACGAACAATGACAACCATCGACGGCACGATGGCGTAACGGATTCGACGAAAGCCAAGCAGACGGCGGGTTGGGCCAGGTGCGGAGAAGTATCCGCCGTGCGATGTTTTGCATGGCACGGCAGGACGTGCATTGCATCATTGCCGCCGGAAGCTGACTCGTGGCGGCTTGGGAGCAGGGAGATGCAGCCCTACCGGTCATGTATGAATGATGCAATACAAATGTGGGGTGGGACTGGTGGGGGTTTTCACCGGGGCAGCGGACAGGTTCGTTGATGATATCCGCCTCCTGCATGTTATGATGTTTCGATCGGTGGCGCAGAGGTCCCCCTTGTCCGAGGCACGCACACAGCCGGGGGGAGGCGATCCCGACGTGGCGGTGTAGACGATCGCGTTGGCGCGATTGGGTCTTGGACAAGGTGCTGGCTCCGACTGCCTCTAAACCCAGACGGCCGCTCATTGGTGTAATGTGGGCGCAACGATTACTCAGCCTGGTTTCACACATGGGAATCGAGACGAATCACCAGCATCCAGAGACGTGGTCATGCATGGCAAGCCCTGGATTCTCATCAAACGAAGCCGCTTGGACCTGTCAATCGCGCGTTGCTTGATCCCGACGGCGTTAGTTGGCCCGCCGGCGTTGAGGCAATAACAATGTTCGTGTCGCATTCGGTATAGCGCGGCGCTGGACCGAGTAGCTGAGATAGCTGGCTAATGGCTTTGCGGCTTACGCATGGCTTAACAATCACACACCGCGGCGTCGCTGGGAGAAGGTACAGCCATGACAACGCCTGACAAAATGACTACAAACACCACTGGTGGGCGCTCGGATTTTCGCGTTCCCTGATTGAACAATCTACAAATGCTAGCCTCTGCGCTCGCTGTCCGTGTTTTCCATGTCCAAAGTCGTTTCTTTCAACGCCGCCGACAAGCAGACCTCAAACATCCCATCCAGCAAAATCCTTCTCGCAACACTAGCAGCGCTCATCGCCATCGCCCTGGCGCTCTTCACGCCCCTCCGCAGTTTTGTCCCGAGCAGACTGCATCCCAGAATCTCGGCTCTCCGCACAATGGCCACCACCACCACCACAACAGCGCCGAGCGGCAACACCAAAGCCTTTGGCCCCGCCGCCCCTCCTTCCACCATGAAGCTCACCCGCCGCCCTTGGAACGAGCGCGGCCACGCCGACCACGGCTGGCTGTACACGTACCACACCTTCTCCTTCGCGTCGTACTGGTCGGCCGACCACGAGGCCTTCGGCCCGCTGCGCGTCATCAACGAGGACCGCGTCGCGCCGGGCACGGGCTTCGGCGCGCACTCGCACGCCGAGTTCCTCATCTGGAGCTACGTCGTCGGCGGCGAGCTCGAGCACAAGGACTCGATGGGCAACCTCGAGCGCCTGCGCCGCGGCGACGTGCAGTTCACCAGCGCCGGCACCGGCATCCGCCACTCCGAGTTCAACCGCAACACCGACGCCGAGGTGCACTTTTTGCAGATCTGGGCCCGTCCCGCCGTGCGCGGCTTGACGCCCGCGTACACTACCCGCACCTTCCCCGACGAGCTGAAGGTGAACAGGTTGTGTCGGGTTATGGAGAGCGTGGGGAGGCATGGTGGGGGGGATGGTGAGAGCGAGCCGATCCCGCTGCATGCGGATTTGAGTATGAGCGCGTCGTTGTTGGAGCCGGGCGTGAAGGTGAGGCATCGGCTTGTTGCTGATGGGGAGCGGAAGGTCTACTTGCACGTGGTCATGGCTGGGAGAGAGCAGCCGAAGGAGGGCGGTGCCGCCATCAGGGTGGGGGATAAGGTGTTGAGGGAGGGAGACGGTGCTTATGTTGAGGGGCTGAAGGGCCCGGGAGAGGTCGTGGTGGAGAGTGTGGGGGACAAGAGGGCCGAGTTCCTGCTTTTTGATATGGAACCTTGAGAGACGGTCGGTACCTTCCTTGTATCTAACTTTCAGGCCATCATCTTTACGTAAATACTGCTTATTCGGAAGTCAGCCTGTAGAATAGGATCGACGAGACTCATGAGAATAGACAGATACCGGCACCTGAAGCTTGTGTAGCTCTAAAATATCTCAAAGCCAGTGAGACTCTAGAAGTTTTTACCAGTGCACAAAGGTGCCATCGACCCTAAGTACCAGAGATTGTCAAATGCCAAAGGTCTGTGGAAGGTGCTGTACCTGCAGCCACGGCACCCAGGGTCTCGAGCCGATGATTGACCGGACCCCCATCTGTGGCCTCGACTTTAGCCTAAACCCCTCACTTGGCACTCCACCATGACTCTCATGGATGGTGCTGCCCCGCGATGATTTGCCGGGGTAACACGATCCGGGGCGGTGGTTTAAAGATGGCTACGCCCTGCGGCTCCTTGCCGCTCCAAGCTCACATCCTTCTGAGCAACTTATCCGACTCGAGCAATGGCGACTGGCATTCTGAAAGTTGACGGCGAGAACGTCGTCGGAAATGACGGCAAGCCAGTCATTCTCCGAGGAGCTGGCTTGGGAGGATGGATGAAGTGAGTGCTCCCTCCCTTGCCCAGCGAATAATGTGCTGACCCACCGAACAGCATGGAGAACTTCATCACCGGCTTCCCAGGCCACGAGCATCAGCACCGCGCGGCAATGCTCAAAGTTCTCGGAAAGGAGAAGTACGAATTCTTCTTCGACAAGTGGCTCGAGTACTTCTTCACCGACAAGGACGCCGAGTTTTTTGCCAGCAAAGGGCTGAACTGCCTGCGCATCCCCTTCAACTACCGGCACTTCGAGGACGACATGAACCCGCGCGTGCTCAAGGAATCCGGCTTCAAGCATCTGGACCGGGTCGTCGACCTGTGCGCCAAGCACAACATCTACACCATTCTCGACATGCACACCGTGCCCGGTGGCCAGCACGGCGACTGGCACGCGGACAACGCCACCAACTACGGCGCCTTTTGGGACTTCAAGGACCACCAAGACCGCACTGTTTGGCTGTGGGAGCAGATTGCCAGCCGCTACAAAAGCAACGCCTGGGTTGCCGGGTACAACCCGATCAACGAGCCGTGCGATCCCCTGCACTGGCGGCTGCCCGCCTTCTACGACCGCATCGAAGCCGCCATCCGGAAGATCGACCCCCACCACATCCTGTGGCTGGACGGCAACACGTTTGCCATGGAATGGAAGTATTTTGACAAGAAGTTGCCGAACTCCGTCTACGCTCTGCACGACTACACTGTAAGCATGTAGACTCCGCCGCGCAAGAGTCGGTCGACTGATGCTTCCCCTGCAGATGATGGGCTTCCCCAAAGGCGAAAAGTACACGGGCTCAGCGGAACAGAAGGCGAAGTTGGAGCGGCAGTTCCTCCGCAAAGCCGAGTTCATGTACAAGTTCGAAACACCCATCTGGAACGGTGAGTAATTTTGAACACGGCGCCTCCCTTTCCACGCAACATCACTGACAACAGCCAAAAAATCATATGCAGGCGAGTTCGGCCCTGTGTACGCCAACCCCGAGCTGGACGCGGACCACGAGGCGGTGAACGCGGCGCGGTACTCGGTGCTGTCGACGCAGCTCGGCATCTACGACAAGTACAAGATCCACTGGAGCATCTGGCTGTACAAGGACATCGGCGTGCAGGGCATGGTGCACACGAGCCCCGCCAGCCGCTGGAACCGCACCATCGCCCCCTTCCTGCGCCGCAAGCGCGAGCTGCAGCTCGACGCCTGGGGCCGCCACCCGAGCAAGCAGGTCGAGCAAGTCATCGAGCCGCTCGTCGAGTGGATCGACAGCGTCGCGCCCACCAGCGCCCAGCAGTACCCCACACCGTGGCACACCGAGCGCCAGATCACGCGGCTGATCAACCAGATTTGGCTGTCGACGTGTCTGCAGGACGAGTTTGCGGCGTTGTTTGAGGGCATGGGGTTTGAGGATCTGGAGGAGTGTGCGAGGAGCTTTGCGTTTGAGGAGTGCGTCCAGCGCGAGGGCTTGAACAAGGCGCTTGAGGAACACAGTGCCGTGCCCGAGGTCGACGCTAATTGGAAGCGACCGGCGTACAAGACTTCTGATCCGAAAGAAGCGATTGGTGTATGACAAGGTGTTGAAGATCATGTTAGTGAGAAACGGACACTGCTGTCCTTTACGAATTGAGAATTATATACTGCTTGATACACAAATTCTGCTGCAAGAAAAAGAGGTGGATTTCGTGGCAAGCTGACAAAAACATAAGATATACTAGGTTACACGTCTGCTTGTTGACACCATATAGCGGTGCATTCGTGCTGCCGAACGAGCCGAGTACGGTAGGAGAAAGCAGTGTAGCAACGGGTGATGTGCTTTTTGGCGCAGCGGCTTTCGAAAACTAATATATTTACAGCGAGTGGGTCGTAAAGTATACATAACTCATGAGAACAGAACACTTCCATAACGATGATACAAACTCCTCGGCAAGTTCCCATCAGTACTCGCACGGCAAAAGAGAACTGCTGCCACTTTCGTCTCGATCGAGGGAGGAGGGAGAACTGCATGCACCGTTCCCAACATTGTCAGAAATAACTTTCCCAATCTATCGTCCCCCCTTCCCTTCTCTCCCCTCCCTAGAAAACAAAACCCCCCCCAAAAAAATAAACCTCTCCCCAAAATCCAGCGACGGTCTCACTTCATATGCACGGGCAACTCCACCACGCCAACATCCCTCATCGGCGGCGTCCACGGATGATGTAGGGGAATGGCTACCAAGTTGATCATGTTGACCATGGTGGCGTTGCACGCGACGAGCATCAAGAAGACCATCTGCACAACGTTGGCTTTGCTGAGGTTGCTGTGGCGGCGCGGCTGCGTGGTGATGAGGTGGTTGATGAGATCCTCTTTCAGCTCGGCGGAGCGCTGGTCGACGAGGGAGCCCATGTAGTCGAGCAGCTCTTGACTGGCCCTGGAGGCTTCGGTCGCCGTGGCACTGCCGTTGCTGCGGATGGCGGCTTGTTTGGTCAGGAAGGCGAGGTCCGGGAAGAGGACACCGAGGATTCCGTAGATGATCTTGTGGTAATTAGCTCCAATATCGCGAACATGGAGGGGTGCGGATGGAGTTTATCGTTGGATGGATCGAATGTTGGAGGCTTCTCGTCGTCGCGTAATCGCACGGGACGTTCCGCTAGCTTCCGTTGCAAGGTACACGAAGGTATAGACGGTGGTTTACTCTGGGACTCTGGCCAAGACGGCAGGAGAAGCATTCGGCGGGGCAGGGTGCGGCGAGCCGGCGGCCACGACTTCTGGGGCGGAAGGTGCCATCGATCCCTGACGCAGATCCTCGCCCACGTCGTCGCCAGCTACCTTTCCTCACTGCCGAGCCCACAGCCCTCGATCCTTCCAGCAAAAAGACGGTCAGCAGTCGCACATGGTGCGGCGTTTCGGTGCATTTCACATCTACATACTCGTATCCCGCTCCGCTTGGCATCGCCCGAAGAAGAGAGAGTCGAGTCGACCACACAGCTGGCCTATCTCCGGCCCAGAGTTACCGTCATCAGTCCCGCGTTGATACAAGCCTTGCGCTACGCCTTGGCTAGCGCCGCGACGGCTCCGATAGCGGCTCTGCCGGCCTCCACCCGGCGTACCACAGAACGTGTAGCGCTGTAGATACGACGCAAAGCGGCTTCAGCTTCTGCCTTTTCAATTCCCGTTCCTCATTCCCGAAGCTCAGCTGGCGTGACGGTGGGTCGAGCCACGACGACGCCATCGGCCACTCCCACCATTTGCTTCCGATACGCGACGTCGAGTCTTCTCTCCATTGGCTGCTGTGACTTTCGACGGCCCGCGCCCGGCATGCCGTTTCTGCTTGCCCAAGATGGATCTCCACGAAGCCCTACAACCAGACTAGTCAAGCCACCCGCGCGATACAAGTTGCCGCCTGTCAAGACTGTCGCTGCTTATACAGTGGATCCTCGATACGCCATGCAACCGAGCGACGGCGCCCCCAGGTTGTGCTAAATACCTTCCTCCGCCCGACCCACTCCATCCGACATCCTGCAGTCCTCTTGATCTGCTGTTCTCTTGCCACGAGTGACAATGGTTGAAGACAGCCGGCCAGATATGAGACCAGTCGAATACTCGGAGCCTTCATCCCCGCGCGCCGACAGCCCCGACCAAGAGAAGTGTCTTTCGCTCTCCGACGATGGTTTTCCACACCAACAGGACGTTCAGACCAAGGTCGAATGGGCCGATGACACGGAGAACCCGCAAAACTGGCCCTTTGCGAAGAGGTGCTTCCATACCATGATCCCTAGTAAGTTCTTCCAGGCTCTTGCCAACCCAGCACCCTTCGCTGACCTTGTTCAGCTCTCATCGCATTCGTGACGTAATTCATTCCTCGTTCGGCTCGCCCAGCAGCACGCGCTAACAACGCCATAGCACACTGGCCTCTTCCATCTATACACCAGGCCGTGACGAGGTGCAAGCAGAGTTCGGCGTCTCTTCGACCGTCGCCATCCTTCCCTTCTCTTTCTACACTCTTGGTCTTGCTTTCGGTCCTCTGATCGCTTCGCCATGCAGCGAGAACTTCGGTCGTAGGGCAGTATACTTTGTGTGTACCCCTATCTTCGGTCTCTTCACGCTCGGTTCCGGCTTCTCCCAGTCAATCGCCAGCTTGACCGTATGCCGGTTCTTTGCCGGATGCTTTGGTAGTCCTGCACTGAGCGTTGGAAATGCAACTCTTTCTGACGTTTGGGCTCCGCACGAACGCGCTATCCCAATGGCCATTATTGTCTGCGCCCCTTTCTTGGGTCCAACCTTGGGGTAAGTCTTCATCAGCTCCCGTCATCAGCATGATACTCACGTCGGACCAGCCCCTTGATCGGAGGCTTCGTTGCCGAGGGCAAGGGTTGGCGATGGACGCAATGGGTGATCCTGTTCTTCACCGTCGCCTTTCTCTCGCCCGCTTTCTTCATGTCCGAGACCTACCGCAAGCAGATACTCCAACGACGCGCCAAGCGGCAGCAGCGTCTTGAAAGTAACGGTCCAGAGCTGCACCGCACCGAGACGGCAGCTTCGCGCGCCTCGCGCGCCGCCCAAGGCATGCAAGCGCTGCTTATGAACACCATTGGGCGGCCTGTGCATATGCTCGTGACAGAACCCATCATCGGCCTCTTCTCCCTCTACGTTGCCTTCATCTTCGCGATGCAATACGCCTTCTTCGCCGCCTTCCCCTGGGTATTCAGCAACACCTATGGCTTCTCAATCGGCGCACAAGGGCTCACTTTCCTCGGGCTGGGCGTCGGCTGCCTGCTCGGCTTCACCATCATCTGCATCAGCAACATATGGTTCGACAAGCCGCGGGCGCAACGGTGGCGCGAGCGTCAGCAACAAGAGCTGGAAGCCGCCGCCGGCACCCAGTCCAGCTCGGGCGTCCTTGGTGCCAGCGGCCCCACGCCAGCGCGGCGCACCTCGCCACCGCCCGAGTTCGTCCTCTCGATCGCTTTCCCCGGCTCCGTTGTGCTGCCCGCCGCACTCTTCATGTTCGCCTGGACGGCGCACCCGTCGGTGCACTGGATCGTACCCATCGTCGCCGAGACGCTGTTCGGCACGAGCAACTTGCTCATCTTCATGGCTTGCACGCTGTATCTCATGAACACGTACGGCCCCATGTACGGCGCTAGCGCCATGGCGGCTTGTAGCTTGCTAAGGTACGTACTGGGTGCCGTGTTCCCGCTGTTCATCTTGCAGATGTACGAAGCGCTGGGGACGGGCTGGGCGACCAGTCTGCTTGGGTTTGTCAGCATGGTGTTGGGTTTTGTGCCGTGGGGGTTCGTGAGGTGGGGTGAGAGGTTGAGGGGGATGAGCAAGTATCCTTGTGAAGGTTGAGAAAGAACATGGAAGAAGAGAGAAAAAGAAGAAAAAGAAGAAGAGGCAAGACTGAGAACTAGAGCAAGGTCTTTTTATCTTGGCGGCAATGACTTTATCCGCGGGTTGTGTGGGTCAGGTGGGTCGGATGAGTTTGGGGTAACGAATGACGTGGGTGATTTTCGTCGACACCCCGGCGCAAATTCCGGGACGAAAGTGATGAGGTCAAGGATCAAGAAGGAGGATAGACAAGAGGAGAGAGGGGGGACGGAAGATGAGAAGTAGAAGGTGACTTGTCGTCAGTTTTGCTTTATACCCAGATACGTACTCAAGACAGTTTCAGCAACAACTCAAGAATCGCAAGCATTCAAAGTGAGCCCAAAAGGTACAAGAGAATGGTCAGAGAGCATGGCCTGAAGTTGGAAAAAGCTTCCAGCTGCCTTGTTTTAACCTCGGTCAAACTGGCAGTGAGCGCCTGGCAATTGATCGCGGCTCTTGTTTAGGCCGATTAAGCGTCTCCACATACCGCCTCATTTACCCCACATTCGGTCAAGGGGATTTGCAAGGGGCTTAAGCACGCACAAGAGGGATTGAGCTAGTAAGTCTAGAGCTGCTGGGTTGGATTCGGATATGCCGTGTCTCACTTCAATCGGGGAGTAGAGTAGAAACAGGAAGGGTGTACGTCGTGGCATGCTCCGACTTTGCTGCATGTGTAGATGGTCTGCTATTTGATGGAAGTCCTCTCCACGCTTAATCCTCGCTCTCTGAAAGCCAGTCTCACATCGGGTCATAAAAGATATGAGTCAACACGATTTAGGTATGCAGTGGAGTCCTATGGCTGGATATATTCGTATAGTTTTATGATCTGCATCCACATCCGGATCTTTGCTCCAACCACCAACGTAGGAAGAATGCCAAGCTAAACAACACCAACCCTATAGAACGCTATGCAGTTATGTCAAACAATATAAGGCCATTAGCCAGCACTGGTAAGCAGTGCGGCGTCGTCCTTTTTCTAGCCCAACAGAATTATGTTTGATATAAGCTCTTTGTCGGCTCTCACCCCTTCTAAAGATAAGGCCCAAGAAAAGAACACAAAGCACCACAAGATCCAGACCGGTTTCGAATTTTTCGGCAAGCCAAAGCCCAATTCTCTGGCTATGAGCAAGCCAGATGCGTACCCAACGATCTCTAGGCTTTCATCGAGCAATGGATGCAACGTTCATCGATTCCCTGGAGGTTTATTGGCGGTATCCCACACCCTTGGATACAACAATGTCGTCGTCTGTGAACGATTCAAGAGACTGGATGCGATTCGACGGCGTCAAGAATTAAGCTAGGATAAGCAATAATTCGCATGTCGATCCAGAATCCCCAGCGACGCATCGAGGGCGCATCGGCAGAGGAGTACAAATGCACCCATGGGCGGTATCCTTAGCAAACGGGAAGTCTGACCGTCGTTGAGTGGTGCAGTCAAACTGAACATTTGAGCAATGCTGCCTACAAACTGATGTGAAAAGAAAAAGAGAAAAAAAAGCAAGCGAGGGACGGGAAGGAAGGATGGAAGGAGCAGCGGCGAGGCCCGGCCCACGACGACGACGCTAAGTTCAAGCCCCCAGCTAGCTACTTAGCGATCTGGGGAAAGCTTTGCGGGGGCCTGCAAAACAGCTCTCTCCCGCTTCAAAACCTCCAACCAACAACACCCCACCACGCTCACTCTCACACACCTCCGCGCGCGAGTCCTGCACCCCACCACCACACACGCAATGGCGTCATCCTCCTCCTCCTCCTCCTCCTCCTCCGTCTTCAGCCCCGCCGCCTCCTCCACCATCGCCGCCCCGCCCGAACGCGTCTTCGCCCTCCTCATCGACCGCACCACCTGGCCGCGCTGGAACACCTTCATCCCGCACGCCGAAGTCGTCGTTCCCAAGCCATCGTCATCGTCGTCACCCGCTCCCTCCACCACACCAAACGACGACAACGACAACAACGACAACGACGACGGCAAACTCAAGCTCGGCCAGACCCTCCGCTTCACCGTGCAGGCGCGCGTCCTCGGCGCGCTGCGCACCGTGCCGGGCGGCAGCCTGGAGGAGGTCAACATGCTGTCGACGCCGTCGAGCGACGGCGGCGGTGGCGGAGAGCGGGGCGTGTGGAGGGTCGGGTGGGCGGCCAGCGCGGCGATGATGCCGCGCTGGCTGATGCGCACGCAGCGCGTCAACGAGGTCGTGGCGGCGGATGGTGGTGTGGGCGGTGGCGGTTGCATCTACAGGACGTACATGACGTTTGAGGGGCCGATGGCGTACGTGGTCAAGTGGTTGACGGGGTGGATGGTGCGGGATGGGTTGGTCATGTGGGCGGAGGGGTTGAAGGAGGAGGCGGAGAAGGGCGGCGGCGGCGGTGCGTGATGGTGGTGAAGGGGCGAATGGGGTTTGGTGGTTTGTGGGGACCGTTGCCGATTGGGATTCCTGACGGACGCGCAAACGATTGCGCATGTAGATGTAGCCATCGAATTCCTTGGGACGACTGGTGGGTGGTGGGAGTCCGCAACCCCCTCATACGACCCCGGCTGATTTGGGCGACAGAAGGTTGTGGGGGTACCCGACTCGACCTGCAATTGAATGCGTAATCCATCGACCCCTTCCAAAAAGCCTTCGATTGGAATCAGGCTTGCATATATTAAAGACGCACCCACGGATCACGAACGCTGCCCGGCCCGTCCCCCCAGCAAGAAACACCCGATACGCCAGACCGGATCCGGAAAGGACCGAGGTGCATGGATTAATCAGGCAGGTGAATACTTCGTGTCTTTTCCTGCCTAAAACTCCGAAATGGCGTCGGTTTGGAGTAAAATTATGTCAAGCAGGCTGCACTTGGAGGCGCCCGAAAGGCCTTCGGAACTCGGTATAATCCACTCCCACTATCCGCGGGCACCGCCACCTATTGCCTGAGAGCTAAAACAAAAGGAGAAAACCGTTGTGTAAGGCGACTATTAGGTTAGGATCCGCCTGATCAAGATCCTGCCCTAAATGAAAAGAATGCTCGGAATTCCCGAGATGATGACGACGTCGGCTTCCAGAAGCCGACAACGGCACCTAGCGTCTGCACGGAAGATCTGGAAGACTCATGTGGGGTACGCCTTAACTGGCTGGTGCTATGAAGAAGCACGGCCACAGCCCAGAGCAGAATGCAGGCCAGTTCAAACGCAGACGATCACCGAGATACACGGGCACGATCGCTCACGAAACTCACGGGATTGTATTCACGGAGAATGGCAAACGAACGCTATACACACGAAACCGCCCGCATCCCTGACGTAAACTTCATTCTCCATACATGCTGCGTCAACGGATTCCGATCCCGTCCGCAATCATCCAACAGTGACGGTCGCCTCGCCCCTGAGATCCCTGGAGCTGGCGCCGACGGAGAAGGTGTACGTGCCCTTGGCGACAGCCCACTCCTGGGCGGCCGTGTCCCAGTACGACACGTCCTTGCGGCGGACGCTGAAGGAGACGTCCCTGCGCTCGCCCCTGGCGAGCCGGACCTTCTCGAAGCCGCGCAGCTGGCGCGGCGGCTGGCCGGGCGCGGCGGCCGGGTAGGCGACGTACAGCTGGGCGACCTCGGCGCCGTCGCGGCCGCCCGTGTTCTCGACGGCGGCGGTGACGCGGATGACCTCGTCGAAGAGGTCGGCCTTGCCGCCGACGGCGAGCGGGCCGGCCGGGTAGGTCGACGCGAGGGCCCGGTCGTCCGTCGTCCGCGCCGAGACGGCGCCGATGGCGAAGGTGGTGTAGGACAGGCCGTGGCCGAAGGGGTAGCGCGGGGTGACGTTGAAGCGGTCGAAGTGGCGGTAGTCGATGTGGACGCCCTCGCTGAAGTCGCAGACTTCGGTGTAGCAGAGCGAGACGGGGTAGTCGGACGCGTCCTTCGCGATGGTGCTGGTCAGCTTGCCCGACGGGTTGACGTCGCCGTACAGCACGTCGGCGATGGCGTTGCCCGACTCCTGGCCCAGCAGCCCGCCGTACACGACGGCGGTGACGTTGTCGTGCTCGATCCACGCGTCGACCAGGCGCGGGCCGACCGTGTTGATGACGACGACCGTGTTGTTGCAGCTCGAGGCGACGGTCGTGACGAGCGCGTCCTGGTCCGCGTTGGTCAGCTCCTCGCGGTCGCCGCCCTCGCCCGCGTACGAGTTCAGGAACACGAGGCAGACCTCCGAGTCCTCGGCGTAGTTCTCGTAGCTGGGCGTCAAGGCGGTGCCCTGGCCAGAGATCGATATGCCGCCGCCGCCGCCGCCACCGCCGCCGCCGCCACCCATACCACCGTCCGTTCCGTTGCTGCTGGAGTTGCCGCTCATGGAGGGGAGACCGCCATCGCCGCCGCCACCCATGCCGCCGTCGCTGCCCGAGTCGGAGTAGGTGTCGTTCATGATCCAGCGGATCATGGTGCCGTCGGCGGCGGCGCGGGCGCTCAGGCTCTGGAAGGGGGTGATGAGGTACGAGAAGGAGAGCTGGCCGGAGCCGGTGCCCGAGGCGAGGTGGCCCTGGTAGACGGGGCCGTCGGTGCCCTGCACGCTGAAGGCCTGGTTGGGGCCGGCCATGGCGGGGCCGGCGTGGGCGCCGAAGACGCTCATGGTGCGGGGGCGGTCCAGGGGGAGGACGCCCCGGTCGTTCTTGAGCAGCACGAGCGAGCCGGCGCCGACGTCGCGGATGAGCTTGGCGTGGTCGGCGCGCACGTCGCGGTACTCGGTGGTGGCGGCGGCGGCGGGCTGCTTGCCGTCGTCGAGGCCGACGTGGTAGTAGCCGATGAGGTTGCGGACGGCCATGTCGTCGAGGCGGGCCTGGGTGAAGGAGCCGTTGGCGATGCCCGCCTCGAGGACGTCGGCCGTCCAGTACGAGCTCGAGCCGTAGTCGAGCCCGGCGTTGGCGGACCCGAACGCCGTCGTCTGCGAGTTGACGTCCGGGAAGACCATGCCGGGGAAGCCGAGCTCGGACTTGAGGAGGCCGGCGACGAGGTCGCTGTTCTCGCACGCCAGGGTGCCGTTGACGCGCGTCATGGCGCACATGACGGCGGCCATGCCGGCCTTGACGCCTTCCTGGAAGGGCCAGAGGTAGAGCTCGTGGATCGTCTTGTCGTCGGCGTTGGACGTGTAGACGGCCGTGGTGGTGGACGAGATGCTGGCCGAGCGGTTGGTCTCCTGCTCGTTGAGGAGGAAGTGCCTGCCGCCGGCAACGACGCCGGCAGAGTTCATGCCGGGGATGGCCCTGGCCATGATGGCTCCGGACAAGTACGCTAAGCCGGGGGGGTTCAGCATGTTGCAAAGGAGTGGCATCTGATGAGAATCGAGCACTCACGATCGGGGCTGTAGGCCTCAGCCTGACGGCCACCCCAGGGGGTGCGGCCCAGAGGACCGCACTCGGGACCGTTGACCAGGTTGTAGCCCATGAGGTAGAACTCGCGGCCGAGGGCCTTGTTCTGCTTCTCGAAATAGTCGCGGTCCCAGGTCATGGCCAGGGCGTTGTCCATGCTGAAACCGGAGACGTAGTACTGGTAGTTGATGCCGCTGCTGCCGTCCTTGTTCTCCAAGGCGGTCCACGTGAGGTTGGAGCCGGAGACATCGCCGCCGGTGATGATGGAAACCTTTTCGGCGTTGGTGAGGCCGGATGCGAAGGCCTTGGCCTTTTGATACGCCGCTTCGAAGTCGCCAAGCTGGACTTTGCCCGAAGACAGAATAGAGGCCGGGCTGGCGGACGAGTTGGAGGCAGCGTAGCTGCGGGAAACGAGCGCGGAGGCAACGCCCAAGGCCGTGAGAGCCCTCATGGCGGGGGATTGAGAGGAGAAGGTCGAAAAGAACGGTTGTCGTGAAGGCTGCACAGCAGGGACGGGATTGGCTACATGTGGCTCAAGGCCTCAGGATCCACCGGCCAAGAGAGCATTAAGAGCACGGCATGGGTATATCGTCGGCATATCCCACGTGGCAGCCAATCACACCGCATGAAAGACCGACTCGGAGCGCATGTCGAAGGCAGGGCCACGCGGCCGGTGCGAGATCTGAAGCTTAAAGCTAATCAAGCGGCGATGAGACATATGGGTGCGAGGGTGATTGGCAGGCACGAGGCGGGTTTCCGGGGGGGGACGAGCAGGACTTGGGGAGTTGCGCGTCTTTTTTTGCCGGTTTGTTCGAAACAGACGACGCAGATCGGGCGGACGTGCTCTCGCCGGAGACCGCCTTCGGACCTCGGGCTTCAGCGGCGTCCGGCGCTGCGGCTGCGGCCAAAACGTCAGCTCCCGCGGCGGGCGTGCCTGCAGGAAAGCTTGGCCACCTTATCCATCCATCCCACCACGCCACGCCGCCTCTCCGCGTCGCCACCCCGGTATTTCTCAACCATCAGGTGGCCATCTCATTCACCGGCGACTATGGCACGCATACGGACTCGACGATGAGAAATGAGCTTCTGGCGACACCCAGCCTGTCCGGCTGGAGGCCTGCAGATCAGCCTCCGGACCCCTTGGTCGTCGCTTCCCGAGTCGTCATTGGCCGGCTTCTGGTTTTTTTTTTTTTTTTTGGCCGTGCTACCCGCCCCGCAGACTGCCGTCCATGGTACAAACCCAGCTTGGCAGCCATCGGAATTCCCGAGCGTGGAGTGTCCCGGTGCCTGGCGAGCAAGACCCCATCGTTGCTCGCACTTTTCCGTCTGTGAGCTCCGGCCTCTCCGCTCGCAACTAACTGCTTAGGTACGTGCCCCGGCCCGGAAAGGACGCCTTGGCTGCTAGCTGCGGCTTATTATCCGGCCATTGCCCTCAAGTCCATGTTCTCTCCAACCACCACATCTGTACATACTGGTTCCGGTCAATCCAATTCCAAGCCCACCACAATGAGATCCACCGCCGCCATCGTCGGAGCTCTCGCCTCCCTCCTCGCTGCTGGCTGCTCCGCCGCTGAGGAGAGCGCCAGCCTGATTGTCGACACGGCGCCGCAGTACCTGCGCCCCTACGTTCTTCCCAAGCACTCAGGGCAAGCCGTCGCCGTGGGCCAGCAGATCTACCGCTTCTCCGTGACGGGCAACTCGTCGGCCGGCGCCTTCACCCTGATGCAGACAAACGCCCCCGCCTCGAGCAGCCTGGGCGTGCTCCCGCACACGCACAAGGCCCACTACGAGAACTTCTACTGCACCAAGGGCCGCGTGCAGCTGTGGACCAAGACCAACACCACGGGCGAGAACGCGCGCATCCTCACCGCCGGCGACTACGGCGCCGTGCCGCATGACACCATTCACACCTTCCAGATCACCGACCCAGACACGCAGCTGACGGGCGTCATCCAGCCGGGCGGCTTCGAACAGCTGTTCATCGCCATTGGCGACGGCCCCTACAACTCGTCGACCGGCGCCGCCTTTGTCCCCGCCGCGGTCAACAGCTCCGCCTCCGGCGCCGGCAGCTCGGCCAGCATGATCTCCGCCCTCGAGTCGTTCGACGTCTTCGCCCAGCTGGACTACTCGCCGCGCTACGACTTCGTCAACGGCAGCGCTGGCACCAGTGCCGGCGCGAGGTGGCACGACGGCGCCAACGCCCTGGCAAAGGACGCCCACACGCCCAACTTCATCGCCAAGGGCTACGGACCCAAGTACCTCAACGTCGACGACGGCGTCTATCGCGTCGTGCAGCCGCTCGTGACCGACACCCAGAGCGCCGGCAACTTCACCATGGGCACCATCACCATGTCGCCGCTGCTCGCCAACCAGACCGACACCACTCAGCAGAACCTGACCCAGCCCTTGGCCTTTCAGGTGGAAGAGGGCCTGCTCGTCGTCGCAGTCGATGGCTATGATGCCGTCAACCTGATCCAGGGCGATGTCGTCTTCATTCCCGCCGGCACCGCCTTCACCTACCACGCCGCCGTCCCCTTCACCAAGTTCCTGTACGTCAGCGGCGGCGGGGACGGCCTCGACTATCAGCTGTTGCAGAAGAGCGTGGCCTGGAACTACGCCACCTACCCCACTTACGCTGGTTACACCATCTAAGAAAAAGTAAGCGGTGGTGACCGGGGGAGGGACAGAAAATAATTCGTTGTATTTGGTTGTCGTGTGTTCCCTTTCCCGCGGATACCCGAGCCAGGTTGGCTCACAATTTTTTACGACAATGAGCATGAGGCCACTACTGAGCAGTAGTGGTACCATATGTATATAGTAATGACAAGCGGCATGAGGCCGCCGGGTTGGAAAGATCTCGGTCTTTTCAGCTGGTGGTACCATATGCAAAATTTAAATTTTTTTTATGAACGCTTTCCACAATCTTGTGCTCAGTCATATTGATCAAATGATACCCAGCTTTCGTGCATGAAGGATCTATTTAAGAAACTCTTCAGTAAGTACATTTCTGAGGAGCAAGCAAGGGCAGTATCTCGCTGTTACTCCCTGCTGCTAGAGACATTGGGCCACCCGCTTGAACTCACCTACCGAGCGCCGTCGTTCAATGGCTCTCATTCCTGCCCTCTTCCTGCCTGCTGTCACCACACTCTACCAGTCATACTACAATGGACGCTACTTTAGGAAAATTCCCGAGCTTCACAGACAGCTCTGTCAAGCTTGTAGATCGGAACCTTACATTGTTACAGCCTTGATTAACTGAATTGGTGCTGGATAAGTATCCCTGTGAAGAAGGTAAGATCGTCAACCATCGCTGAACAAAGTATATCTGAAAATCCCGGCACCTTCATCGTGTAAAATCCCCGCAGCTAGATCCGTGGTTGGATATGTGTATGTACAATACATCTGATAGGTCCTCTATCTCCTTTCTCGTGGTTGGATCCCCTGTTGTTGTGATAATATTCATCCCAACTCCTTGGGATCTATAGGCTCTCACGATAGTTTCCCAACCATCTTCGTTCCGGTCAGCCGCCGGGCTGATGAATCCGTCGTCTCCGTGAGCCTTTGTGTGTCCCGCAACCTCGTTCTCTCCCATTGAGTCTGTACTGTCCTGACAGGGGGCAGTGCGCAATGCACCAGGGGAAAGTTGTATAGATCCTCCTCCTCCTCCTCGTCAGGCAGTTTTATAGGTGCGTCTCCAAGGTCATGTTCAATTGGCCCACGAGGCGAGGCATCCATTGGCCGATCAGAACGGCAAAAACTTAGCCACCGCGTGACGACACACCGGTGGCACGAGAACAGACACTATGAGGATCGCCAGTTTTCGTGACCCGTCTCAAACCTCGAACCCGCGACCTCACGACGAGTTGCTCGGCACAACGCTGAGGAAAGTGAACAAACCCATTCAGCTGTGCCATGAACCCTGGGCGAGGTTACGGAAAGGACTTGCTGATTACTCATATGTATTGCACCTTGGCGCTTCACGCGTGTAGAGTGTAGTATATCCTTTACGAGATGGGCATGAGAAGAGAAAACAATCGCTTGAGAACAACCATGCTCCTCTTTCAGACCACGAGGCTCTTGCTCCTGAAGCACGCCACTCCCTGTATACTCCGTTTGCGCGTGAGCTTCCTCCGAAAGAGAGGAGAAGAAAAGGAAACTATAAAAACACCCGGACCGAAAGATCATCTCCTCTATCCGCGTAACTCCGAAAAAAAAAAAAAACAAGGATCAGATGCCCTCCCATCATGCAGTAAATGTTCAGTCCCCGAGCACCTGCCCTACCACCGCCATTATCGTTCATTCATAGGAACGCCGAAGGAGAAGACCAAGAAAGGTGATCAAACAGGAGCCTCGTCCACCACCTCACCAGCGACAAGCGGTGGTACCTCGCCTTCTTCACCAGCAGCACCACCCTCGTGCTGCTGCTGCTGCTGGTGCTGCTGCTGGTGCTGCTGCTGGTCCCGCTGCTGCTGCACCAAAACCTCCACGTCCGGCCCAACGATCTTGTCCAACACGTCGACCCCGCCATGAAACCGCTTCAGCAGCTCTTCCAGCCCGCCCACCAAATCGTCGCCGGCAGCTCTCCTCGCCTCGGCCAGTCCAGCAGCAATGACGGCTTCGTCCACCACCACCTCCGGTTGTACCGCTCCACCACCACCACCCCTATTCCCGGCACCGGCAGCACCCATGTCCGTGCCCTCCACCTTGAGCATCAGCCCGCCGCCGCCACTGAAACCGCCGCCGCCGTCGTCGTCCGCGTCCTCGCCGAACGACGGCGCGGGCCCGATGGCGGTGCCGACGACCTGCCACGAGCGGCTCAGGCTCGTCGCGCCCGCCACGGCGTGGCCGTCTGGGGTCAGGTCGACGACGACGTAGCGCTCCTTGGTGCCCGGCGTCGGCGGAGGCAGATAACAGTGAGGCGGTCCTCCGGGTGCGCCGTGGGCGTGGCCAGCCTGGTGGTCGTCGTCGACGAGGTGGTGGGGCGGGTGGTGGCGGGTGGTGGGCGGCGAGGGCGGGGCGGAGGTGGTGGTGTCGCCGAGGGCGCGCATGAAGACGGCGGTGTGCAGGTCCGGGTCGTCGTCGGAGAAGACGTAGTGCACGGCCGGGTGGTGGTGCTCGCCGGTGGTGGCGTCGGCGACGAGGGCGAAGAAGGGCGAGAAGTTGGCGGGCGGGAGCAGCGGCTGCGAGGAGGGGTCGTCGAGGGGTGGGTAGGAGAGCGCTTCGGCGTCGCCGGCGGCGTTGTTGTCGTCGTGCAGGTAAGACGGTTGGTGTTGCGGCGCTGCTCCTGCGGCGGCGGCGGCGGCGGCGGCAGCGGCGGAGGCGGCCGAGTCGTCGTGGGTTACCGGGGCGTGTTCTGAGGGTGTGCGGCCATCCATGGCTGGAGACGGCGTGGGAACGGTTCCATGGTGCTGTTGATGTGGGGAGTTAACGGACATGTTGCGTCCGCGTCGTGGTTGGGACGGGCAGCTCGGGGTAGAGCTCGATGGGTCCTGCAGCTTTATCGATTGTTGATCCCTGCCGTACACGTGACGGCATCTTTCCGATTGGACGAAGCGCGGGCTGACCGCATATGGGGTGCTGTGAAGACGGTGCGCCTCTGGAGGATTTGGAGGCATTTTTGTACATACGTGCGAGGGGTCGTCTGGCACAGCTCGAGCGTTGTTGGGGCGGGACACGCTTGTGTACCGTGGTGGGATGCTGCCTGGGAGCGACAGAGCGGGGTGTGCGCGAGAAACGACGACGAATCATGAGATGGAGCAGGCTGATCTGATTCAGATTGTACTCGCAAGCCAAAAGACCGGTGACCCAGGGTATATCCATATCCTTTTCCAAACAAAAACTCCAGGCGAGGACCCACGATTCCCCATCACGCCTCGGTCATGGACGCATTGGTGGCATCCTTGACGGTAAAGGCTGAGGCTATGTTAGCAGAGTCTCCATGTGACGCTGAATTGGATTCCTTACGCTGACGGCACATGGGGCATTTTTCTTGAGAAGCCTCCTGCTTCAGCCAGTCCTCGATGCAGTGCTGCTCGCGGGTTAGCAATAATCGGGCCGGTGATTTTCCTTCGTCCATGTTTTGGGTTTCATACCATGTGGAACGAGTGGTTACACTGGCCCATGACTGCAAACGGTCAATGAGACAAGGCCCTGTCATGCAGGGCCGCGGGGCACTCACGGAGCGGGCAGCCGTCGCCGGGGAACTTGCACTTGGAGCAGGTGCTGTCGTAGGGACTCCGGCAGATGCCGCACAGGTCGTCCTCGGGCATGTCCCAGCGCCAGGCGGCAACGGCGTTCCATTGCTTGATCTTGACCTTCATTTGGAGGGACGTGCGGGCGGGGAGGCGAGGGTTGCGGGGGCGAGGGCGGTTGGTACACGGGCAGTAAACAAGAGGCGCGGGTGCAGCAACGGCCGGGACGGGCCTTGGATGCCGAAGGCGGTGAGGGGAGCTCGCCGGGGCAGCTGCATGACGCGATCAGCAGCAGCAATCACAGCAGCCATGTCTGGGGAGTGAAAAAGCGACTGTCGGGTCCTCTTCACTCCCCAGCTACCGCCCGTAAGTACTCTCCTTCACGTTCGTCGATCGGCAGCCGAGGGAGGCATGGATGGTGCCATCAGCCCCTCACTTGCACGCGCCAGAGCTCCCTGCCGCCTATCGCGAGCTCATTCCCCAGCTCCGCCAAAGCAGCCCATTGCCTCCGCCCACTCTTCCATCGAAGCCTGCCTCTCCCGCACTCTCGCATCGCTGATTGCCGACAATGGCTAGGACCGCAATGCTCCGACCGCTCCTGCGCGCCTCTTTCCAACCCGCCGTCTCTCCGCGCCCTGCAGCCGCCTTCTTCCAGCGTCGCGCAATGAGCTCCTCGTTCACGCTGACCAACTACCTGGTCACCCCAGCCGAGCTCAACGACGCGCTCCAGAAGAACATTGACTCGCGTCTGTCGACCGCCCCGCGCGTCGTCCCTCTGTGCGGCACCTGGTTCCTGCCCAACGATCCCGAGAAGCGCACCGGATGGCAGACTTTCAAAGCCTGCCGCATCCCCAAAGCTCGCTTCTTCGACCTAGATGCCGTCAAGGACCAGGATAGCCCCTACCCGCACATGCTGCCCAGCAACGAGGATTTTGCAAAGGCCATGGGTGAGCTGGGCATCCACAAAGACGATACCGTAGTCGTGTACGACAGCAAGGAGCAGGGCATATTCAGCGCTCCCCGCGTAGCCTGGACTCTGAAGGCATTCGGTCACCAGAACGTCCATGTGCTGAACAATTTCAAGCTGTGGGTCGACGAGGGCTACCCCACTGAATGGGGCACGCCCGCCCAGCTGGAGCCTGTCAACTATCCGGTACCTGAGCTCGACCGCTCCAAAGTCGTCGACTTCGAGCAGGTCAAAGAAATTGCGAAGAAGCAGGGCGAGTCGGGCAAGGCAGATATTCAAATCCTCGATGCTAGGAGCAAGGGTCGCTGGGAGGGCAAGGACCCGGAACCCAGGCCGGGTAAGTGCTTGTATTTCACTTGGCAATCTCATGGACAAACAGTTGTCCTAGCTTCTTAGAGGGTGCTCTTGTCTGAAAAGGCACCATGCTTGCTTTGTAGACGGTGCTTGACAGCGCTTCTTACTTTTTCCCCGTTTTTTCTTTCTTCCTTTCTCCAACGCCATAAGCCACACACAAGCTGACACGAACACAGGTCTCTCATCCGGGCATATCCCTTCTTCCATATCCGTTCCTGTGCCTGAGCTGCTTGATCCAAAGACCAAGACTTACCTTCCTGCCGCTGAGCTAAAGAAAGTCCTCGAAGCCAAGGGCATTGACCCCTCCAAGCCCGTTATCAGCAGTTGCGGCACTGGCGTTACCGCTGCTGTTATTGACGCCGCACTGGCGGAGGCCGGCTTCTCGGAGACGAGTCGGCAGGTGTACGATGGTAGCTGGACAGAATGGGCTCAGAGGGTCAAGCCTGACGAGGGATTGATTGTTAAGGTCTGAAATTGAATCAATTTCACGGGTTTTCATGTAAGAGCGATCTCCAGCAAGGCGAAATGAAACGTCTTTGAATGATACCCCGCTACCATTTCTGCATACTGCCATTGAACTCAATTTGCGAAGAGTGTTCTCAGGCTAACGCCTGCGAATGTCCGTCTCGTTGCTAATGAGAGATGTGCTTGGACAGGATAACTCAACGGTGCCTGCACAGCACTCCATTGCTTTCATGGTCAACTAAAGCCTGGGCAATGCCATGCTTTCCGGGATCTTGGTCCATTGCCCAGTCTTCTCGTCCAACTGTTGCTTTGACTCGGCCCAAGCTGCTCTCATCACCTCCGCATGACGCTCCGAGCGTGGCCTAATGCATGCTTCGTACTTGTCTGGCAGCATGACGAGGCCACCGACGAGCTTGTCCTGTTCAGGAAGTTTAGGCTTACCTGTAGCTTTATCGATGACCGGAGTGATATCAAAACCCCACATGAGCCTAGCGATACCCAGCAGGAGGCTCCGCTCAGCAACATGCATGCCTATAATCCATCGTCAGCATCACTTGAGCAACGACTATCGAAGGCCACGCTCTTGGCGTGCGCGCGGAACCAGAGAAAAAGAAAAAGAAAGCTCGCTCGCTCAACTCACCCTGGCAGATCCTCCTCCCGGCCCCAAATCCAAACTGATCCCTCTTCTTAACATCAGACAAGGTCGCGCTATCCGCGATCCCCACCGTATCGCCGTCAAACCTGTCGGGCCAAAACTCCTCGGGCCGCTCGTACCGCCGCTCGTCCCGGTGAATCGCCCAGATGTTCATCATCACCCCGGCGCCCTTGGGGATTCGGTACCCCAAGTACTCGTCGTCCTGCGTGACGGCGTGCGGCGCCGCGCCCAGCGCCGCCGTCGGCATCCACCGCATCGCCTCCTTGACGCAGGCCACGACGTACGGCAGCCGCGGGACGTCGTCGAGCGTCGGCAGCCTTCCATCGCCGACGACGGCGTCGAGCTCGCGCTGGGCGCGCCGCTGGCACGCCGGGTAGAGCAGCGCCCCTTGCACGAAGCCGTAGAGCGTCGACGACGTCGTGTCGGACCCGGCCTCGAAGAGGGTGCCGGCCATGTAGGCGGCCAGGTCGTCGGAGAAGCCGCCGCCGCCGTCCTCGGTGGCCGGGCGCGCCTGCCGCCGCGCCATGTCGACGCAGAAGCAGGGGTTGGCGGTGCCCGAGGCGACGGCCCGCTTGGCCGCCAGCCAGTTGCTGAGGTAGAGGGCCTTTTCGGCGACGTGCAGGCGCCGGGCTTGTTGGACGCGCGGCTGGAAGATGCCCGGGAGCTTGCGGAGGAGGGGGTAGAAGTCCGGGAGGGCGGCGCCGGCGGTCTGGGCGAGGGCGACGAATTCGCCGAAGGCGGAGTAGAATTCGTTGAGTTTGGCATTGTCGTAGGAGGGGGTGCGCCAGCTGGAGAGGGGGTTGGGTTAGGAGGAAGCGGGAAAGCAAAAAGGGAAGAGAGAAAGAAAGAAAGCAAGAAAGAAAGGGGTGGGGTGATGTGGGGGAGGGAGAGGTCTCGGGAGACGAGTGGTATGGAAGATGCTGGTGCGAGACTTCACGTACCCAAACACGATGCTGGCCACTAGAGACGATGAGTACCGACGCACGTGCTGCAGTAGGGAATCGGGATCGTCCAGCAGCTCGACGAGCATTTGCTTGTTCTCAAGGTCTTGGTATGGTACCTGCGGCCGAGTTAACGCTGCAGGTCGCCGTGCATGCTGCGGGGAACTCACGTAAGATTTGGCCACATTGACATTCAGAAGTGCGTGATTCATCTTCCGCATCTGCGTCTCGGGTTAGAACATGGGTTGAATACTTCCCAGAAATCTGGCTGCTTACCATTCGCCAGGTGGGCCCGTAGTGCTGAGGAGTGAAATTAGCACCGGAACGTGTATAGGGTCGGTGAAACAGAACCTACCATGGCCAGCATCCTCAGTCCACCGCTGGCAATCTCGCCCGTGGTGTACATCTCCATGCGATCACTGTAGATGGCACTGCGTTTGTCCAGCAGGTCTTTGACCACTTGATCGTTGTTGAGCACAATCAAGGTCTTGGTGCCCATGATCAGGGAGTAGATGGGCCCGTACTGCTTGGCCCATTTTTGAAACTGTTCGTGCTGATTCTCGGATGGGATCTATCGGTGGCTGTGAGTCGTGGTCTCAGAGATGGAGGAGCGGGCCTACCTGATGAAGATTGCCCACGATGGGCAAGGTTGGTGGTCCCGGGGGATAACCTGGTGGCCGTCTCCCGATACGCGAAACTCGCCAGGCTAGCAGGAAAACAACAGCCCACACTGCAATGCTCACGACTGGAATCATGGCGGAAGAGCTGCTCGAAAGGGACCTAAAGATTGCATGTCCGTGGCCGCATGAGTGGGCTTCTTATAGCCGGCCAACTCTTTCCTCCCCCCAAAGACGGTTCACAGGGCTGAGCTACCAGGATGGTGCTTACATGCATCTTGATGCGAGTGGATAGGGAGGTGATCAGAGCGGTTGGGGCGGACGGCTGCGCAACGATTCAGGCGCTATTGGACATGGGCTGGTGATGGTGGGCACCGGGATTGGTTCCCCTCCTGAAAGACGGCTCGCGGTCCGCTGTGGCCAAGGCTGTGTGTCTATACAACGGAACTCACGCAAGTGAAACAGTGGTCTGCATCAAGGACGACGCCGATCATCTAACCCACCAGCCGGCTGAGGGCGCTTGGCCCAAGCAAGTAGAAACTTCTCAAAGTGGAAGAGGAGGGCGCGACTCGGCTCGATTTGGTGCATGTCCCCACTCGATGCGCGGGAGACGGAACGGGACAGGCCTATACGGAGTTTGTTTGGCCATCAAAACACGCGAGCGCGAGCACGAGCACGGCTTACTCTGCAGGCGTGCAGTGACAATGTAGCCGATGGAGACAGCATGCGCTCGTGGCGGCAACCGGGGCGCCTGGTCTTTTGAGGGTCGAGCAGCGGCGTTCTGGGCGCGGCGCTAGCTCCAGAGGGCGTCCCGCGTGGCACTGCACGGCGTTGGCTGTCGGGCAATTTTGCGAGGCTGCAGCGGCGACGTCGTCGGAAGGTGTGGCGCGTGGATGGGCGCCTGACGATGACTTCACCAGGCAGCTGGGTGGCCGGGCAGTGGGCGGCGTTGGGCAACAGTGGTACACCGCCCCACCGCCCGCACGCACCCCGACAACGCCCGCGTAAACACGCCGATTTATCAACACCCATGGTCGTCGTGCGCTCTCACCCCGCCACCACGCCGTGACGCCCTCATGCCGCCCATTCGCGTCGCACAACATGCGCGCCCTGCGCCCGTCGAGCCGCACCACGCCTTCGCCTTTCCCGCCGACCACCACCTCGTCATCACCACCGAGTCCAATGTCTGGTCCTGGGACCGCAGCGGCCTCACCAATGCCTTTGCCTCGGCTTCCGCCGGCATCCTGGCCGCCAAAGAGGCCAAGGACGGGAGCGGCCTGCTTGCTGTCGCTGACGACCAGGTCGTCGTGTTGCACGACGCAAACCGCGGCATGGACAGGAGCTACAGGCTAAAGGGAACCGATGTACCACCCTCCCCAAGCCAGGTCCCCCCTGCGTAGTGGCTGACGCCGTCTTCCCAGGGCCAAGTGCGTCTGCTAGAGTACTCCAACGACTCCAAGAGCCTGTTCTTCACCACCACGCTCCAAAACGCCGTCCAGTCCTATTCCCTGCGCCAGGCCAGCCTGCTCGAGCCTTCGCACACCCATCCCTCTCCGCCCACCGTATTGGCTATTTCACCCACCTCGCACCTGCTGCTGTCCGCCTCTGAGAAGCCGCCAATCATTTTTCTGCAGAACTTGACCTTGCGCACCCCTGCCCTCCAGCTTCAGCCGCGCGCCTCCTCCTCGCCCGTGGAGACGGCAGCCTTCCATCCAGAGCGCGCAAACGTCTTCTTGCTCGCCTTCAAGGACGGCACGCTAGCAGCTTACGACGCGACGCGCATACTGGGCAAAGCCGGACGTGGTGCTTCAGGCGGGGAGATTGGCCGCTTCAAGGGCCTCCATGCCGTAACTAATCGAGTCGGAGCTGGCCTACGCGCTGAGACGGGAGACGATCAGAACGTGACTGGTGATCGGTGCGTCAGCATTACCTCGGCCGCCTTCCTGCCCGGACATAGGTCGCGCGCTGTCAGCGTGGGGGCTGATGGCCGTTGCCGGCTGCTTGATTTTGAGTATGGCGGTAACATTCTTCGGACGTGGCACGCAAAGGGCCCAGCCACGAGCTTGTCCATCCTCACTGTGCGACAGAAACAAGCCCAACTGCCTCGGGCCGCGCTCAATAGGGCCGAAACCAGTGGAGCGCCTACCAACACTCTGGCGGTTGGGCGCGAAGACGGCAAAGTTCTCATTTTCGACTCCGTTGGGATCCTTCTGAGTGAACAGACCGTTGATGCCGCTGCTGGTCGGATTATCGACGTCCAATGGATGAAAGGTCCAGGCCTAAGACCTCACTCAAAACCGGTAAACGTCGCTCCTGCTCCTGCTCTTGCTCCTGCTCCTGCTCCTGCTCGGCAGAATGTGATTGCATCAGGGGATATCTGGGCAGTGCCTGCGGATGACGCCGAGGAAGATGATGAAGAATTCGTCGAAGACGATAGTGGGACAGTATACCACCGGCCTGAGGAATCACCGGAGCAGCGGCCTCAGATCAATGCCATGAATTACTTGGACCTTTTCTCCCCCGTCAAGCAACAGCCAAAGAATTCGCCGCAACGTCGCAGTCCTCGTCCAAGGCCAAGACCACGCATTCTCAGCTCTACCTTTAGGCAAAGCTCTTCATCCCACCAACCGACATCTCCACGCCTTAACCTGTCCCCACCAATGCCAAGACTTAGCATAGAGGAGGAGGTTCCGATCAAACGGCCGTCGTCGCCTGCACAGCTGTTTAATAACGTCTTTCGCCGGCATCAAGTCGGGGAGGCCAAGTCGCCAACCAAACTGCCGTCTCCTATCAAACGTTCTGGCTCCCCCCTGCGGCCTTCTCCGTCCCACGAGATTAGGGTTGCAAAGACGCCCTCCAACAAGACCCCTCGCGCTCGCAAAGGCCGGAGGACGTCGGCAAGGATGCCCGGACCACTGGCTAGTGCTTCGTCGAGTCGCAATGTTTCAACCTCCATAAGCAATAGCAACATTCTCGCTGACATTCGTCGCCTGGGAGAATCTGGCGGAAAGAAGATAGCGGGGCTCGCGTTGCTGGCGCCTTACATGAACCAACGGAGCACGCCTCGGAGTTCGCTTTGTGTCGAACAGAGTATGGGGGAAGCGGAGAGCAGGCCCAAACTTTCGAAGCCTGAAGTCACGAAGCCCCAAATCGCCAAGCCGGAAAGCCCGAAGCCGAAAATAGGAAGCCCCACTGAAGACATTTGGCTCACGTCAGATGACGAAGCGCCTGCTTCGCACGTGCGATCTCGTGGCCATCGGTTGCCCTCCCAACGCACGCAGCTCAACCGCCTTGACAGGATAACCTTCATACCTTCGCATGAGCATACTCGGCGGAATTCGGAGATTTCTTCCGGTGCAGATGGATCGGACAACGATGAGAATTCGGAGCGTATTCGCCGCCGGGCGGGGCTCTCACCTGGCGCTGTGCTGCCGCCGACAGGGCCAGTCCGCGTACAAGAGTGTTTTCCGCGTACGAGCTCATTGGGGCACGGAGAATTCGACAGTAGTCCTAGTGCCTTGGACGATATTGATAACAACAGAGCTCGCAGTCCTCGCCCGCGCGATGGGCGGAGTGGACTGGGCTTGTCGGAAGTTTTTGAAGCTGTACATGGGGGAGAGCAACATGACGGGAAAGGCTGTGAGTGTGGCAAGAAGTGCTGTGCGGCTCTGCGCGAGGACGTCAAAACCCTTAGCGAAGAGTTGCGTCTTCTGCGAGAGGAGATGGCCGAGATGAGGTTCTTGATGGGTCGCTGAGGCTCACGTTTATATTGACATCGCCCCTGCTACGAATCTCTTTGTTTTCCCCGGCGTTGCGGAATACCTGATCTCTCGGTCTATTTTATTTCTCGTTCTCTTGCTTATGAACTTCCTCCTTTTCTTTTTTTCCTCGTTTTTCTTTTTGGCTAAGCGTAGAGAATGTTTGCGCCCAGACGAAGAAGTCTTCTGTTGCAGCAACCGTACATTGAGATTGGATAGATACCCTCTGTAGCTGATGATTGTCACTCCCTGGAAAGGCTCTCTGTAGCCTCCAGTAGTCTTAGTATTCTTCAAGGCTTGTGGCGTATTCTTGTTAGATGTTTTTCGGTACATATTCTCAGGGCTATGGCCCAGACTGTCATGGTGTTGAAGAAATTGATCGAGTCATAGGACTTTCCATGAGGATTTATAGCTTGATTCACCACCTTGGTAGCACGGACACACAGCTCTCGAATAAATTCAGCAGGTCTTCTCCACAAACAAACGACAAGATCCGGCGCACTGACATGTTTCAAGCGTGGAGACGTCAGTCTGATCGGGGCTGCCAGCTGATTGGCGGGCAATTTCAAACGCGTCAGGAGGCTCCCAAGCGGTTACAGGGCCTCGCTTCCGCCTCAACCGCTCCCTTTCGGTCGACTTCCCCATCTTTGTTTAATCTAAGTGTTCCCGAAACGCTGTGGCGATCATGCATCCGGGGACTGCAGACTATGGCTCTTAAATGCGCCCCCCCTTCCGTCCTTTGTTTCTAAACGTTGAGCCGGTTTCCCTTCTTTTACCATCCGCCGGCAATATGCATTTCCGACTGCCCTCCGCTGTTTTTCTGGCCTTGGCCCTGGTTTGGCCTGTTTTCTCCGCGCAGCTTGCCTTCCCGGGTGCTGAGGGGTTCGGACGCTACGCTACTGGCGGACGCAATGGAGAAGTCTATGTCGTAGACAACCTCAACGATGAGGGCACAGGCTCGCTGAGGGATGCCGTCTCGCAGTCCGATCGTATTGTCGTCTTTGCTGTGGGCGGCACCATCAACATCACCGATCGTATCGTAGTTGAGAAGCGAGTTTCCATTCTGGGACAGACCGCTCCTGGTGACGGCAGTACGTTCCCCTTCCCCGAGTTTTTTTTTAAAAAAAAAAAGAAACTCAGAAGACTGACCGTACGATCTAGTCGCAACCTACGGAAATGGCTGGTCCTTCTCCAACGCTAACGATGCCATCGTGCGTTACATCCGCATCCGCATGGGCAAGGGCGGCGACAAGGGCAAGGATGCCATCACCATTGCCGAGGGCGCAAACATGATCTTCGACCACATTTCCGTCTCTTGGGGCCGAGACGAGACCTTCAGCATCAGCGGAGACGTCGCCAACATCACGATCCAGAACAGCATCATCGGCCAAGGCCTCGAGACGCACTCGTGCGGCGGCCTGATGCAGACCGAAGACGGCGGCGTCTCGCTCTTCCGCAACCTCTACATCGACAACAAGACGCGCAACCCCAAGGTCAAGGGCACCAACGACTTCACCAACAACGTCGTCTACAACTGGGGCGGCGGCGGCGCCTACATCGCCGGCGACAGCAGCTCCGAGTCCAACGCCAACATCGTCGGCAACTACTTCATCTCCGGCCCCTCCACCTCCGTCACGGCCTTCACCCGCGGCAACGCCGTCTTCAACGGCTACGTCAAGGGCAACTACTACGACCCGGACCAGGACGGCGAGCTCAACGGCTCCGAGCTCGGCGAGTCCTCGTCCAACTACGGCGGCATGACGCTCGTCGCCACAAAGCACGACTACCCGCCGCCGGCCACCGTCCTCGCCGCCCCGGACGCCGTGCGCGTCGCCATCGCCGGCGTCGGCGCCTCGCTCAGGCGCGACCCCGTCGACGCCCTCCTCGTCGCCCAGCTCCAGTCGTACGGCGCCGACGGCGCCCTCATCTCCGACGAGACGGCCGGCCCCGTCAACGGGCCCGGCTTCCTCGCCCCCGGCGCCGCGCCCGCCGACTCGGACGGCGACGGCGTCCCCGACGATGCAGAGGCGGAGCTCGGCACCGACTCGTCTGCGGACGATGCAATGACCGTCGTCGACGGGTATGCGAACGTCGAGAGGTGGGCGAACTCGTTGGTGCCGTCGTCTTATGCTGCCGCTAGCAACGCCACCGGTAGTGGTTAACTGAGTGGAGCGAACCGGTGCGTCTGTGTAGCTGCAGAAGTGGGCCCGCCCGCCGCGGTGCGCTGCTTTTCCTTTTTTTTTTTTCATGTATATACGAGAATATATCCTTCGCGCAGAGATGAACATATGAATCGAGAGCCGCGCAATTGTCAAGCGGCTACCTGCAAAAACCAATTGCCCACGGATATTGGGAGTAGGAAATACTATGTGAAATGGCGCGGTTTCGTGATCAGAGTGGAACTAAGTATCCTGCGGCTCTCGTGATGCTCGTCTCCTAAGCCCATTTCTAATCAGTGTTTGCTGACCGGTGAGTCTCAACTGCTGTTGCAATACTGATCGAAACCAACCTCGTAATTTTGCTCTGATCAGCACGGTTCCATGTCTGCGATTACGATTTAATAGGTACATCGAACACTTTCCTCTCTCTCTCTTTCTCTTTACAGCCTTCCATTATTACGATTATCTGGACCTCGATAGGTCATGGGAGGAAACGAGTGAAACTAGCAACGGACTCAACAGACTGAATTAAAATTATTCAAGTCTATATGCTAGACACACCCACCGACTCCTCAACATCTTCGCGCCAACTATCGCCAAAAG